AGCTCCTTTGTTGAGCGCCTGTCCTGTGCTGAGATCTTCCGGTCCATTCTCTCTCATGCTCGTGACCCTGTGAAAGCTTAAATTGTGTAGCTGCTCACGGCCACAGAGCAATGGGGTGAAGCCGATAGCTAAATCCAGGCTTTTCTAGCTTGAAAGTCCAGATTTTTTTTCCACAAAGCCACATCAGGATGGGTATGACATGCCATTCCCTAATCCCAGGCAGAATATAGGTGATATTCACTACTATAAGAAATGATAGTTCTGGGCCGGCCGAGTGGTGCGATGGTTAAGAACTCGCTTGGGACGCCAGAGGACCCCGGTTCGGATCCCACATATGAGGGCCAGTGACACTGCCCTCCACAGCTAAGATGCTGAACAACAGCTCAACCTGGAGCTGGGCTGCCATGAGTCGCCGGCGACGGCGTGGGCTGCAGCCCCTGTGGCAGTGGGTTGCCATGGGCTACCGTGTGTAGCCAGCAGCCAGCGTAAGCGGCCAGCAGCCGCAGTGAGCGGCCGTCCAGAAGCCGGCGACTGATCTGCCTCGCCCGGGAAGAGCGCAATGATGGTGCCAACTTGGGCCAGTGGAGCAACATCCTCCACAACTAGATTGAAGAACAAAACGACAGCAACTTGTCTGTTCCCCTTCCCCCAATTCCCCAGCACTGTTCCCATCCCCCTAATTCCCCAATAAAAAAAAAAATCTTAAAAAAAAAAAAAAAGAAATGATAGTTCTACTCCTATAAATGAATTATGACAGCACTTCAGGTTGTTGTGAAGATTAAATGAATAAAGTTCTATGCAGTGCTCTAGACCAGTACCTGGGGGTCAAGTAAAAATTCAACTGAAGACGACCATGATGGTGGCGACAATGGTGGTAAAAGTAATTACTAGAAAGACATTTGACATATTTCTCATTAGGTTTGATTCCATCAAACTAGCTGCACACGGGCATCCTTGTACCAAAATAGCCAGCCTTCTCTTCTTCATCAGATGTTACTACTTACCTACAGGAATATACAATCACTCAAAAACTCAATGACATAACTATTAAACAGTGATTCGATGGTGAGCTCACACTGGGGCCTGATTCAGGCATACGAGGCATAGTCTTTGCCCTTAATCCCCAGTTCCAATGTGGTTGGAAAGGCTCAAATTATTTAAGTAGTTTCGCCTCACACACAGTAGGGGGCGCAGAAATATTTGTGGAATGAATGTGCGCTGAACAGCTGTCCGAGAGTCAGGAGGAGATGGCAATGATGTCGCCCCATGAAGCAGGAGAGGGATTTGCAGGCGTGACTGGTCAGAGAAGCTGGAGACGATTGGATTTGGCAATGAACTGATTTACTGATGAACTTCAAGGGTGTAGATACAAGCGAGATAGTGTGGTGTTTGTATTTCCGCAAGGGCACTTGTGTATAAAAGCTCGTTTCTGAGGCTGACTCCAAGTCCATTGGCAGGTGCCTCACCTGAGTTCACGCTCTCCTCTCCTCTGATCCCTAGCACCCTTCTGCGATGCAAAATCGTCTCATTATTTGGACCATTTCAACGGTGTGCGGCATGAGTTTCAGAGCAATTCTTTTAAAAATTCTCCTTCCTCACCTCCCTCTATAAACTCTCTAAGCAAGATGACCATTTTAGCGGCAGCTATGTCAAGGTTTTATTGCTCAGCCATAAAAATTGTCATGATATTGAACACTAAAATGACTGTGGCAAATGTATGGCAATTATATTTCCTTAAAACTCCTCGTGCGCTTGCCACTAAGAAGATTGTCAAAGCCTCCAGCTAATTACTCTATCTAATAGGGCCTGTGACTTCTTCAAAGGGTCCACGGTGTAGAAAGTGATTGGCATTTTGTCAGTGGCTCTTGTGTTATACAAGAATGTGTGTAGATATATGCATATATGTAGTGTACACTGTATGGAGTGGGTATATATGTGTGTGCATACTACGCATGTATGTATGCACGTATATTTGATTTTGTATATATAGCATCAGTGCCAAGGACATTGCCAGATGTCAGGTGTGGTTAAATTCAACCCTTCAGGAAGGAAACAGCCTTTCCTTTCATCTCTATTCCCTAAGAAGTCAGCAGGAATTTGGCTAATGGAAAAATGCAGGTTGTATTCCAAATAGGCTAAGTCACTAAAAATTCTGCCTACGCTTTTGTGTTCTACAGGAATCTACTTGTCCCCCTCAGCTCTTCCAAGCCAAAAACAAAAGAGGCAGAAGTTGTTTTTTTTTCTAATTCATTGTGGCTATAAAACTAAGGAAGGTTTGCCCGTAGTTGTATGTTTTAGAAGTTACTATTTGTACTAAAGTTGACATAAATTGGAACCACAAAAAGATCGTAAGGCCATTATTTTTCAAGACTAAAGTTAGCCATCTTTTTCTGCCTGATAGAAAATAGAGCGCTTTGGGAAGCTTCTGCTTAGCTTGAACTGTGAATCCACTGACAGCTTCTTTTGCTACTACAGGCATTAAGTAGTCAACTCTTAGTTTTCGAATGCTGGAGGTAGAGATTACCCAGGTAGACAGATATGTCTTAAACCATTTGGGTTTAAGACAGATGTACACAGACACTCAAGCATCACTGGTTCCCAAACTTGTTGGAGCTATGAAAGGTCATCAGTTGTTTTGACAACACTTTTCACCAGCACGAACTCTACATAGCCTATAATTATTTATTAATGGAGTCGTGTATGAGTTTCTGAGAACTTTTTTCAGAATTTCATGGCACATCCTCAAGCTAATTGGACATAACTGGGAGTGCTACCAACCTGGGCCTGGAAATCACTGGTCGTCACATTGAAGGGTAGAACCACGGAATAAACCACAGGCAGTTTTCAGCTAAGGGTATACGAAGACTCGGTTCTGTCCTTTGTCAACTAACTGTGGAAAGAGAGTGAGGAGAACTGGGTAGTCTTCATTTTGCCAGTATAGATGAGCTGGTAGTGCTCACCTGTTCGACTGGAGTCATTTTCTGACCTGGTGACGTCAGTACATTTCTAGACACACAAGCCTTTCACACCGATACCCAAACATACATACACCCCCCTGAAAGACTCGTCCATGTGAGGTACTTAGACCTAAAGCTATGCCTTCTGCCCTCCTCATGGGATCCAGCTGCAAAGAGCTCCAGTAACCAGATTTTGTAAACCTAAATCAGTGGTTCTGAACCCCAGCTTCAAAGTAGATTCACCCAGTTAGCTTTTGAAAATCCCATTGTCCAGCCAAGTGTGAAACCACTGACCTGACATAACTCCTGCGTGCCTCGTCAGGTTGACGTCACATTTTGGTGTTGGGTTTTTTTGGTGGTTGTTTTGTTTCATTTCATTTTATTTTATTTTATTTTTAGTTAAATCATCTCTAACTGAGTCCTTAGACTATTCTTGTTTGTGTTGCTTTTTCATGGCTTTGTAAATAGGTCGTTAGTTGCCCTGTGTCTTGAGCCCTTGCCTCTTCGGATGGAGATGTTGTACATTCCCAGACATTCTGTCCAAGCCACAGAAGAAGGTTGTCACCTGACATGGCTTGGAATCATCCAAGTTAGTAGCACCAAGAGTGTATGGCGGCTAAAGTGAAATCATACAAGCATATTTGTCTGGGATTAGGGAGGAACTCAAAGGCAGCTGGGACAGATTCGACGCTTACTAAAGGCATATGGCTCCATTAAGGGAAAATAAACTATGCTCTGCACCTTGGTCCACTGGGGATGGTTGCGCACCATTTTGTACACAGGTGTCATTTGTCTGGGGACCAAGCCACCTGGGACCCTCAGCCAAACTTTAGCTTGCCTTAGGACTCTTTAAAATCAAAATGGTACCCTAAGCATGGTACAAGTACAACAAGGGGCGACATGGGATTGTTTTACGTGATGCAAGAAAGATTATTTTATTTACTAGTTTTGTATTTGCTTTAATACGTAGTTGAAAACATATAAGTGGCACCACAAATGCATAATTGTACAATTATTATTGCCTTGGCCACAGTTTAGAAATGTGTCCGTCTAAAGAAATGCACCAATAAATAATTATACACAGGTGATATACATGATAGAAAGAAAGACAAATGATTGATAACACTACACTATAATGTTGTAACAACCGCAGTCAGCTTAAAATTAGGATATCCTTCCTGCTTCTCCAAATAACATTTTTAGGGAGAGCAAATAAAAACGTAAAAGGAAGGGAATTAGGTCTTGAAGCTATAGGGGAGCCTAGGAAATGACTCCCCAGGTGGAGCACTATTATCTCAGGGGAACATTGAGACCCGCTGCTGTGTCATATTTGTCCGGAATTCAGGCGACAATGTCTGCAGCAGTCTTGAGAGGAGACACAACACTAGAAAACCCAGTGCCAGCTCCCCATGCGTGTCTCTTGGGAAAGAAATCAATGTTTTTAGGCGCAGCTTGCTCTGCCGGGTGGGTGAGCAGCATCTGCGGAAAGGTAGGAAAAGGCACCAAGGGAAACCTGACACGTCTGCTAATGTATATGGAGGTTGGCTCGCCCCGTGATGGACCCAGATTAAACTCATCTCTGTCTTCCTCATGAGCCTCTCTCTCTTCCCTGGCTCGCATTAGAAATTCAGGGGCAGAGAACAAAGCCACCACATTTGTTTTTCCAGAGAAAGCCGGGGTCTGGGGAAAACAGCCCTGACAGCTGTTCTCTGTGCCTGGTTGAATGAAGGGCTTTTTACATGTTTCATTCAAGACTCTGTTTAGTCTGGATGCTAAGGATTTATATATCAATTTTGGGCTCTCGCGCCATTGAAGTCGTTCTGATTTCCAGTGATTTTGTCGTCGTCTGTATTTGCCTACAGTGAAAGATGTGACTTAAGAGGCCTGGCCGTCGACTTACTGCAGGGTCCCTTAAAAGCCTGCCTTTCTTCATGCGCTCTCATTAGCGGGGTTGCCAGGGCTTCTAAAAACGAAAGCAGCAGCCCTTAATAAAAAACACCTGGGCCGGCATCGGTAAACTGCTTTCCCGTTGGCCTTTTGCAGAAGTGGCAGTGCATCGAGGATACATCTGGCAAGCTTCGCATTCACAAGTGTAAAGGATCCAGTGACCTGCTCACCATCCGGCAGAGCACGCGGAACCTCTATGCTCGCGGCTTCCACAAGGACAAAGAGTGCAACTGTGGAGAGGCTGGTTATCGGGCCAGCAGAGGCCAGAGGAAGGGCCAGCGGCAGTTCCTGAGAAACCAGGGGACTCCGAGTAAGGCACACGCCTGCACCATCCCAGGTGGCGGGCCGGGGGTCTTTGGGAATGAACGCTGGAGAGACCGAAGGCTTGCTCCTTCTCCATTTCAGATAGTACCAGTGCATAGTTCGAGGGCGAAGAGCCAATAATTGTTCTGTTTAGAAAACGAACGCTCAGATCATTTCAAATTTTGCTTTGTGAACACTTGCACTTAAGCATGGAATGCAAATATATTTGGTAAAAGCACCAGACATAAAACATACACACACACATGAAAGAGCTTTCAAGGGGCAAAGCCGGTTTTATTTTACTTAATGCCAGTGTCCTGATTTGTCTGCCTTAAGTTGCTTTTAAAAAAGAGAAAAAGAAAAGAAAAACCCAAGGTTTTTAGTGCTTGTACATTTAATAGGAAAAGCATAAAAGCTTTTTTTAAAAGGCATACTTGGTTTAGGACAATATTTTTTTTTAATTCCTCTGGTCAAACTAGTCAAATTCAGTATGAAAACCACTGCCTAGTATTTTCTTTATAAAAACTCTTATGGGGCAGCTCTGAGATTCCCATATAGATATGAAAACCCAGTCCTGTACCATTCATAAAAGAATGGTAGTCTAGTGCCATCTAGTGGTATAATATGAAAAGTGACTCATTTCAGTGGTAATTCCTTTCTATACTGATTTGGAAATAAGCAAAATACATTAACCTCAATTCCTTGTCCAAAATTAGGACATCAAATCATTCACTAGAACAGTGGAAGCTTTTACACCAGAGATTTTTTTTTCACCTTGGATTGCACAGATGAGCTTTAGGGGATCATGAGCCCTCTAACATTTTATCCAAAAATGTAAGTATATTCCATGTGTACATGCACACATGGATGTCTATAACTTTCAACAAATTCTTTTTTTTTTTTTTTTTTTTTTAGCTGAGCCATCCTGCCACCTGTTGGCAGCTCAGTGGCAGTTCAGCTCGGGCCGGGAATCAAACCGCTGTTGCTCAGAGCTCAAACTCTTGAGTGAGCTCTTAACCAACTGATCAACAAATTCTTAAATGATTCCATAACCCAAAAGGCTGAGACCCATTAATTTGGGAGACTTTCTTCTCTCCCTGACAGGAAATGCCAGGTTTAATAATTCACACAAAGATATCAAATGGAAAACCCACAAGGGACAAGACCCCCGACATTCTCGCTTAACAGAAGCTGATTACAATCGTCAGCACAGATGCAGGGCCACTTCTTCCCTCCCAGGAAGTTCAGTGTTGATCCCCAAGCACTGTTCATAAAGCCCATTGGTTTTTCTTTTCTTTTTTTTTTAAATTTTATTGGGATGACAATGGTTAGTCAAGTTACATAGGTTTCAGGTATACAATTCTATAATGCATCATCTATATATCACATTGTGTGTTCACCACCCAGAGTCAGTTCTCCTTCCATCACCATATATTTGACCCCCTTTACCCTCATCCACCACCCCCTCCCCCCTTAGCCCCTGGGAATCACTAAACTGTTGTCTGTGTCTATGTGATTTTGACTCTCTGTTTGTCTTGTTCCTTAGTGGCTTTCAGTTTTATATTCCACATATCAGTGAGATCATATGGTTTTTGACTTTTTCTGTCTGACTTATTTCGCTTAGCATAATAATCTCAAGATCCATCCATGTTGTCGCAAATGGCACTATTTCATCTTGTCTTATGGTGGAAGAGTATTCCATTGTGTAAGCCCATTGATTTTTCAATATTGAGCACAAACTGAAGAAGTCTGGGGCCACTTTTTCAAGCCACATGGAGTCTTATGTACTTGAGAGCTGGAGGCATTTCCTTACCTGGAAATTGCCATCAGAACCCTGCAGAGATGCTTTTTGAAGCATCCCAATGTAGTAGGAAGACATTATATGTTTAGAATCTGAATTACTTGGAATCTGAACCTAGCTCCCACCTGGCTATTGGCTGTATAACCTAGCAAAATGGATGTAACATTCAAAGTTTCAGTTTTTTCACCCATAAAATCAGAACGATAACACCAAATTCATGAGCCTGTTTGGATAATCTGATAAGTTCTTTTTTTAATGTAAAGATTTATTATGATACCCGTCTTTCAAGATTGTCAATTGGAGATCAGTACAAGATGAATAATGCATAGCAAAAGCTCAATAAATGACAGTCATTATTATTAATAATACCATAATGGGGAATATAGTTTCACTCAAACAAGCTGACTTGGCAGTTCACGTTGAAAACTCAATGGAGACATTCACAGCCTGTCTTAAGTAGAAAGAATCTTAGCAATCACCCAGACCTACCCCATCACTGAGGGCTGCAGGGCCTGAGGCCCATAGAAGCATGGCAGCCATCACACAGCTATGCAGTGGCACAGCCAGGACCAGAGCCACCCCACCCCCCACCCCGATCCCAGTGGAAATCGCAGGACGCTGTCCATAGCGCCATGATGCCCTCGGCAATGCGGTAGATAAAGCATGCCCCTTTCCAAAATGCTCATCAAACCAGGTAATCGCCTTCTCCCCTCGAGTACATCTGGACCTCTGTGTTAACAGATCTTCCCTTATTTCCAGAATACAAGCCCAGGTTTGTGCACACTCGGCAGACACGTTCCTTGTCGGTCGAATTTGAAGGCGAAATATACGACATAAACCTGGAAGAAGAAGAATTGCAAGTGTTGCGGCCACGAAACATTGCCAAGCGTCATGATGAAGGCCACAAGGGACCAGGAGGTCGCCAAGCTGCTGGCGGTGGCGACGGGGACAGCATGCTAGCAGATGGTGGCAACGCTGTGGGCCTGCCCACCACCGTCCGAGTGACCCACAAGTAGGAAGGCTTTGGGGGTTCACAAGGGTTGAGTTCCAAGTGGTCCCCCCCCATATGACCACCGTTTGTCCTGTTACAAAAAGTAATGTCACTCGGCAATATGACGTCTGAGCGCTGGGCTACGTGACGATGGGGGTTCAAGAAGAAACAAGGAGCCCAAACACTTGTAGATCTGGACATCTGCTTTGGGGTCAATGTCACATTACGGCTGAACAGCTGGGAATTGAGCCAGAGTGATTCTGTCGCATCGTGACATCGCAGGCATGGAGCTCTGTTGTTAAGTAGATACCTTTCTGGGCATCTACAAAACACAGCGAAACCATTCCTGGATGGGTGGGGGCTTTTGAAGCTGCACGGTCCCTATGACTCCGCAGTGTACCAGCACGGCCTCAGAAGTAGAACACAGTGGAAGGGGAAACAGTGGGTCCTGGAGAAGCTTCCAGAGAGAAGGCATAGGTTGGGAATGGACGTAAGATACTGAAACATCTCACCTGTCCACATCCCAGAGAGCACAGAGGGCCTTGGGAGTCAGGCCCCCGGAAGGGAGATGGTTCCCCATAACACACTGCCTTAGTTCCTCGGTTCCTTCCAAAATCTACTTACTCTCTTGACAGAAATATTTTTGTTCTGACTTTATTAGCAAGCTCTTTGTTTCCTCGTTCATTCCATCACTTTGGGGCGGTGGGGTACTATGAGTTCTGCCAGGATGTCTAGCTCTGGACTGGTCTCTGGGTGCCTGTGGTTGCTATAGTTACACGCTTGGAGATTTAGACCAGCATTTGCTTCCCTCACATTATTGATCGGCCTCATATCCCACCTGCTCTTTATCCCTGGGGCTGCTGCTTTGCTGCAAATGTAATGGGGTACTTCAGGCAGGCCCTTTGTATGGAGACAAAGGGGATGAATAACCCTCCTAACTGCATTTCTTCAACCAAGCCATTTCCATTATAACTGTGAAAAACCTTTTTTTTTTTAACCCTACAATATTTGATGGGGCTTTCAAAACTGGAGGGTTTTGGTGCTGTCTATTCACGGGAACATGAATGCTGAGAGCAGCCTCAAAAGGTGACTTCAGTGGCGATCACTCTATGACATGGTCCTCTGCCCACACCCGTCGCCAGGAGACATTCCCAGTTATCCCAGCCTATGGCTCCGCTCCAAATCACTGCTTGTATCCAAATTAACAGTTTAGAGGATAATTAAGTTCCCTTTGCTATTTCCAATTTTAAAAATAAAAATATTAGAATGTAACCCTATTTCTAATGTTTGTTGTTTGGTTTTGCAGGTGCTTTATTCTTCCAAATGATACAATCCATTGTGAGAGAGAGCTGTACCAATCAGCCAGAGCCTGGAAGGACCACAAGGCGTACATTGACAAAGAGGTAACTGTGGGATGGGAAGCTATTCCAACAAACTCAGTAGCTCTCCAGCCCTACTGGTGGGACACCCTGTGTGCACGCGCTATCTTTTTTTTTTTTATAATTATGTGAAAAATAGAATGGCAGGGCATTGCTCATTCCCGTGATACCCTGAGAGTCCTCCTGATGAAAAAGACAATAGAGTTTCCCAAAAGGACGGGGACTGACTCAACGACCTTTGGAAATCTCTACGAGAAAATAAGTTCAGTTGTAAAAAAGACACCTGTTAATGTTTACTTTAACACACGGGTTGGAATTCAGAGGAAAGTATAATCTATGCAACGTTTGTTTCCAAATGAGTCCCCATCTCAGGGGAACAGCTATAATTACGGAACCCAGAAAGCAAAGGTGAGAAGAAAGGTGCTTGGCGTAGAAAATCCTCACCGTAGAAATGTAATTGTTGAATTGCACGTTTTCCAGATTGAAGCATTGCAAGATAAAATTAAGAATTTAAGAGAAGTGAGGGGGCACCTAAAAAGAAGGAAACCTGAAGAGTGTGTCTGCAGTAAACAGAGGTGAGCACGTGTCCACCCCGGGGTCCCCTGTCCAAACTCATTTTTGCTACATGGATTAGCAGGAGTCTTATTCCTCTCTTTTAACGGTAGCAAGCTTAATAAAACGAACTTCTTATCGTATGTTGTAATGACCTAAATTGTTTCGGTCAAATGAAGTATGTCATAAACCTAAGCAGAAGGTAAGAAACAGTCTCATTAAGTTAGGACAGTTACTGCCTTTCTTCTGTTTTGCACTCTTTTTTGTAAAATAAGCTATTTGATCAAATGCATGATTATGAAGACTCACTTTTTCCTCTTCTTGCCTCTAGCTATTACAATAAAGAGAAAGGTGTAAAAAAGCAAGAGAAATTAAAGAGCCACCTTCACCCATTCAAGTAAGTCACTGTGTTTCCCACATTTGCTGGGAGGGAAGGCCTGTCCACTGGGTATTTCCGAAAGGCGGCAGGGACCCCTGTGTTCCAATGGGTGCTGCTAGGGAAAAGTAGCTTCAACTGGGAGGGCATCCGCTCCAGAAGTTAAAACCAAGCCCACACGTTGCCGAGGGAGCCGTGCAGAGTTCTTCTCTAACTCTGCATTTGCTCTTGCCCACATGTGTGTGCCGGGAACTGCGTTTTATTTAGTCCATGCACGGCTTTCTGTGCACAGTGACGGGGCGATGTGGGCTGGATTAGGTCATAGAGCAGCCTGGAATCGTTCGTGGTGAATTCTGACAATTGGGAGAAATATACATTTCTTTTAAATAATAATAAAATCTGCATGAAAAGGGGATTTAGTGTTCGCATCCTAACAAAATTTGAGCCCTTCTGGGAAAATCAAGATTATGCTAAGTGAATTAAGCCAGACAGAAAAAGTTGAGACTTCACTCATAGGTGGGATATAAAACTGAAAGCAACAAATAAACAAGACAAACAAACAGAAACTCATAGCCACAGACCACAGTTCAGTGGTTACCAGAGGGTAAGGGGGAGAGGGTGGTAGAAGAGGGAAAAAGGGGTCAAATCTATGGTGACAGAAGGAGAACTGACTCTGGGTGGTGAACACACAATGTGGTATATAGGTGATGTATTAAAGAAATGTACACTTGAAACCTATATACCTTTACCAACCAGTGTCACCCCAATTAGTTTAATAAAAAAAATTTTTTTAATTCTTCTCAAGCCTACATTGTCGAATTTGTCAGAAGATTTTAGAAACCCTCTAATCCAAACCTTCTAATTCAACCAACCGCTGACTTCGTGGCCACCAGAAAGTTAAGCCCTTTGTCCAAAAGAGGTGGCTAGCAGGGTCTGCTGACTCCTGTTGATAGTTATTTCCATCATTGTTTACATGTCAGTAAGGAAAATGTTGATGCCATTAAGGCTGAGTAAAATTCTAAGAGAGCTGTCCCCTGAGCTTGTCCTCACAATTGCTTGTTCTATTTGAGGGGCCTCTGTGAAAAATAAGCCCTCTCTTATTGTGTATCGATCATCATGTGTCTAAATAGTTGTGGGAGATCTGTGGCAATAATCCTATTTTTACCTGAGGAAGTGCTTTCTGGTCATTAAAAAGTCCCTGCTGTTGGCATAGGGAGGCCGCTCAGGAAGTGGACAGCAAACTGCAGCTTTTCAAGGAGAACCGCAGGAGGAAGAAGGAGAGGAAGGAGAAAAAACGCCAAAGGAAGGGGGAGGAGTGCAGCCTTCCTGGCCTCACCTGCTTTTCCCACGACAACAACCACTGGCAGACCGCCCCCTTCTGGAACTGTAAGTCCTCCTCCTGCACGCCACTCCCTGCCGCCAAGCAGAGAGCAGGCAACTCATACTGCAGTTACTTAGACAAGGAGCTGAGCAGCATAAAACTAGGACTCTAGAATCATTCACCAAGAGAGCACGGGATCATCTCTACTGGCAACTAGAATCATTTTGCCAAAACTTAGTTTTTTCTTCAGAAATTGGGGGGGATGGTATTTTGTGTGTGACAATGCTGAGCAGCGCTCTCTGGGTTTTTCTCTTGATATTTCACACAGTTCCTAGCCTACCTGATAGAGTTGCTGCCAAGTAAAACTGCTCTATAACTAAATAACGAAGTAAATGGAAGAACAAGCCTGCTCCAAATGGATTTCGTTTCTGCTTTATTTCAAGTGCAAGCTCTTAACGTGTAACAAAAGGAAGTAAAAAGTTTCTTCAATGCAGGGACTGTGTCCTGTTCGGTCTCAACCCCCTTCAGGACCTAGTCCCGTGCTTGCAAAATAATAGGAACCCCACGAAATAGCTGCTCTTACATAGAATTGCTGAGGATATGGAATAACAACAACTGTGTGCTTCTGAAATTCACGCTTAGATTGGCTTGTGGTCTGTGCCCAAAATCCACGGAGGTCACATAGAAATCACACCCCCAATTCTTGTGGCGTGCCATCTGATTGAAGGCTAACCATCCCATGGAGTAGCTGAAACACCGAATCTTCTAAATGACAGGGTCACAGGAGACCACCTGGGTCAGTGTTTCTCAAACTGGGAATCGGGGATGCCCAGGCATCCATGGACCATTTTGGGGGGAGCTGAGGCTTACCCATGAGAATTTTTGTTTTATCTTTCTATTTTGCTGCATCTTATGTTTAGTGTCTACATTTGCATGTAAGTTCACAGTCCTACGACGGCTGAGTGAACTCTTAAAGTCATAGCATTTAACTCTCAGTGTGGTTCCCTAAAGTGGGGTGTGGGGATCCCTGAGGGTCACTCAGATGGCTGGGGGTCTGTTCTCCACCAGGTCCTGGGCTGAGCACTGCGGAACCACAATGAGCAAGACATACCCCATTCTCTGTCCTCGTCACGTTTACATTCTAGTGGGGGTGAGGTATAATAAAAAGAAAGCAAATGTGATACATACAATAATGACAAGGTAATACGGATGCTATAAGTAAATAGGGATTATAATTATTTAAAAGGGGCCCTTTTAGAGAGGGTGGCGATGATGGGCCTTTCTGAAGAGGTGAAAATTAAACAGACACCAAAAGGGCCAGGAGACACAATCCATGTGAAAGGGGGCCAGGGGTAGGAGGGAGCAGCACCCCAGATACAGGGAGTAGCAGGCACAGGTCTTGAGGAAGTGATGAATTTGTTTGTGTCCAGGGCTGGCAAGCCCCTTGACAGATGAAGTGTTGAGAAACGTGAAATTGTGGTTTGCGTGTAACTTACACAGGAGAGCCTTCCTTCCTCCATCAGCTTTTCCCCCATCTGAGCTGAGACCAGCCTGCCCAAGATGCCACCATTTCTTACCTCAACCACTGCAGAACTTCCTGTGGGTCTCCTGGGCTCCCTTCTTGCTCTTTCCAATCAAAGGATTTAGAGTCATCATTTAATACATCCTGTTTTTCTTAGAATACAAAGCAAAATCCTTACCGTGACTAACAAAGCCCTGTGTCCATGTTCCCGTCCTACTCTGGCCCATTTCCTCCCATGCTCACCTCCTCCAGCTGTTCAGCTTTTCTCTCTACCTCAAGCATCCTAAGCCCCCTCCCACCGCAGGACCTTTGCACATACTGTTCCCGTTCCCGAAAAGGCTTTTGACCCTACACCCACATGAACCCCTGTGCCTGTCTTTCATCTACTCACCCTCAGAGCTGAACGGTAACGTCACTTCTCACAGAGACCTTCCCTGTGCCTCAGACTAGGTTAAGCCCCTTTTCTACACTCTTTCAGCATTTTTTTTCTACATAGAACTTAACCACATTTGTGATAATACACTTTGTGGTTTTTGTTTTTTTTGTTTTTGTTTTTGCTTAGCATTTGTCTCCCCTACTAGACTGTAAGTTTCTCAAGATAAGAGACCATGCCTGTGATGCCCAATAAATACCAGGTGAATAAACAAATAAGCAAACCTCCTGGTGCAAGATCCAATCAACTGACATCTCACAGAAAACGTGAATAGAGAGCGGGGGAAATAGAGTTATTTTTAACATCTACACACACAGCGCTTAAAAAAGAAAATGTAAAGATAAGGCAATGTTGGAACGGCTAGCTAGCCTGCCTCTGTTTTTTCATTCTTTTCATTTCTTTTTCTTCTTTTTTTTACCAACAGTGGGGTCTTTCTGTGCGTGCACAAGTTCCAACAATAACACCTACTGGTGTTTGCGTACAGTTAACGAGACGCATAATTTTCTGTTCTGTGAGTTCGCCACGGGCTTTTTGGAGTACTTTGATATGAATACAGATCCTTACCAGGTAAGTTAGTATGTTTTCATTTCATGAACGTTACTGAACATAGAGTAACCGGAGCACGAGCTTCACTATCTCATCCTGGCCTCTTCACCCACAGCTCACAAATACAGTGCACACGGTAGAACGCGGCATTTTGAATCAGCTACACATCCAACTGATGGAGCTCAGAAGCTGTCAAGGTTACAAGCAGTGCAACCCAAGACCTAAGGGCCTTGAACTGGGTAAGGAAAAAAAAAACGTTTTTTTCCTATATTACCTGGAAAATTGTGTTGTCGTTTTCTGCCTTTGAAATGTGTATATGCGTAGAAACATACAGTTTGGGATAAGTACAGGGGAAAACTTCACAGGCAATTCCAAGCATAATGTCTTCTCTAAATTTTGCTCTGGGTGCATTAGTGAAAAATGTCACGCGCCAAAAGATTTGGGGAGCATTACTTTCCAAACTCTCCCCACAGGTCTATTCCATTAAATCTCAATTCCTGACAGAAGCGTCCATTGGAAGATGCAACAGAAGCATTGGGAATTTATTTACTATTGCTATCAACAGTCATAAGATATACTGTAGGTAAACCAAGATAGCCTATTCATTTTAAGAGAACTTGCACAGGAACACATGATGTCCTATTTTTGGCTTATCACAGTTTGGAGCTCCCCCGTTTGGACCCCTGCCCATGGACAGTGAGTTAATTTCTTTGGCCAGCCTTTCCCTTCTGAAATGAGATATTTGAGCCATTTGTTGTCCTGGGATCTTAAAGTATAAGAGAACCCATATGGAATCTGCCACATGTCCTCTCCCCAGTCATCGGGGTTTCTTTCACCTATTCCTCCTTTGGCCCCTGGGGATGCAATCCTTTCTGGTGTATGTCCCAGCTCTTTCCTGGTGAATGAGAATACTTCCTTTCTCATGACTCTCGTGCAAATGTAAATACCAGCTGTCTATGGAAGGAAGGAGAAAGAACTGAAGCTGGCCAAGGCCATCGGTGTAGGCATAGCATGCCAACCCCCAAAGGGTGTACAGCTGGCTTCCCAGGCAGTGCGGAGCAGTTTGCAGGAACCCTCTGTGGTGCAGCTGAGTTGGTTGTCTCTGTGGGTCCCGCACGGAGCCAGCATCACCAACAATGAAACTGGGCAGCTCCCCGAGTCATGTGACTTAAAGAGGTGGGGGTGGGGGCACCGTAAAATAACAGACATCGCCTGCTGTCATTTCTACTATTGGAGGATCCTGGAGGCTTTAGAGCTGTGAGAAAGTCCCATAAGAAATCATAAATCCTGTGAAAAAGGTCCCATCTCAGCTATCAGTCAACACCTTTGTGAAATTAGTTTCCCGCCGGACGAATCCAAGTCCTGACGTGCAAAATAGGTCTTTCTGTCGCTGACCCCACTCCGCTCAAATCTTTTCAAATATCCTGCTTATCTGTTGATCTTTTCCTCAGTCCTTACAAAAAGGAGGGGAAAAAAATAAAGCCTGGAAACTAAACCAACTCTGGAGGCACTGGAAATACTACACCCAGATATTTCTCCCCCAAAGAACATAGCACTTTTATTGGTGATGACATAACAATTCTACTTAGTGAAACCCGATAGAGTCTCCTCATGGTGAAAAGACACACCAGGTGGGGCTAGTTATTGCTCTCACACCTCATGCAGTCCGCTCCGCTTTCTAGACGATTCTTGAGGGACATGATTATTGACCCCTTTCTTCAAGTGTTTTGTCTAAAAATAACCCAAATTTAATTTTGACTGAGACTTACACAGACTTCTGGAAGCACTTCCTTGCTGCTTTTAAACGGGCTCTCCCCTTTCTCACCCCCCCCATTTTTCATGTGAACTCTCGTATGTTTTATCTGAAACCTTTTTATGTATAGCTTTCAACCCTCCTTTTGAACCTAATAGAAAAGCTCTGTTGGACCTCAGCACTGTCTATATATTTAACACCGTATGTTTCTTTCTAGGATTTAGATGTTGTACGTGGAACACTGCACTGAGTAGTGAACGGTTTTATGAGTCCTAAAGCTAACATAAATTACTCTTGTATTTTCCTCTATCAGGAAATAAAGATGGAGGAAGCTATGACCTACACAGGTATTCACACTTTTTTATTCTTCCCTGGCAGCCTCTTTCCTAATAATTGCATGATCCAGCCATTTCAACTAATTTCTGGTTCTTACCATGTTGCACAGAGCTTCGCTGGGGTGCATGCATGTTCTAACAGCACTCTCCACCATCTTGTGTCATTGGTTCCAGGTCTGCCATTTTGCTTTTAAGTCAGCTCACTGTCACAACAAGATGTCTCAGAGCCTTTACTCACGCCCATGCTTGTTCGCGTGTTGAATGATGCTTTGAAGCATGGAATGATGTGAAGGCGGGACGCCAGGATGACCTTTGGGAGCCCTGGGGAGAGGGAGGAAGGATTATGTTCCGGGTGCTGCTTCCACGTTGAGCTGGTGGAGAGGCCTCATGGAAACTGGTTAGAGATTTTTAGGAACTGTAACGTCAAAGACACAAAAGGAATGATGGGAATGTTCAGAGGCTTCTCAAGCTGAAGTCGGAGGAAATACAAGGAGCTTCCTTGTTAACAGTACTTAATTTGGGTGGTGAAAAGCAGCTGTGATGCGATTCAGAAGGCTCTGCAGGGTAGTGGTAATTGAAGAGACGGGGCTGGGGCTGGGGGCAGGGTATCGGGAATAAGATACGCAGAAAGGTCTCCATTTAGCATGGAGGCAACACTGCCGGATACACAAACACTTCACAAGCAGGCCCCAGCGCAGTTTTCTCACCCCCCTGCAACCCCCACCCATCCGTCTTTCCTCGCTGTGCTCTAGAGGGAGGACTCAGATACCTCGTGGCCATGTCAACTGGCCACCCGTTGTCATCGGCGCTTGCTAATTTTCCACTCCAAGCACAGACCTCAGGACGGTTTGTCAGAAATGTGCCATGTGGGGCAGGAGGAGACTGTCCTACCACCTCTACTGTGGGGAATTTTTTTTTTTTAAGATTTTTATTGGGGAATTGGGGGATAGGAACAGTGCTGGGGAATTGGGGGAAGGGGAACAGGCAAGTTGCTGTCCTTTTGTTCTTCAGTCTAGTTGTGGAGGACGTTGCTTCACTGGCCCAAGTTGGCACCATCATTGCGCTCTTCCCGGGCGAGGCAGATCAGTCGCCGGCTTCTAGACGGCCGCTCACTGCGGCTGCTGGCCGCTCACACTGGCTGCTGGCTACACACCGTAGCCCATGGCAACCCACTGCCACAGGGGCTGCAGCCTACGCTGTCGCCGTTGACTCACGGCAGCCTAGCTCCAGGTTGAGCTGTTGTTCAGCATCTTAGCTGTGGAGGGCAGTGTCACTGGCCCTCATATGTGGGATCCGAACCGGGGCCCTCTGGCATCCCAAGCCAGCTCTTAACCAATGCGCCACTCGGCCGGCCCACAGTGGTCAGTTTTTAAGGGTGTTCTTTGACTCCCAACTATTACTTAAACTATACTCTCAGTGAACTTATCCTCCTCTGGCTTTTCTATTTTTCCTCCCCTTTTTAGTTGCATTGCTTCCACTTTGTCGTATGAAATGTATACATTGTTTTTACCCTTCTCCTACCTTTGTCTTACTCCTAGCTCTGATAAATATATTAAATGCGCACCACCAATCCTTTTGCTGTAGTTCCCCCAGTGATTTCTTAGTTGAATGAAATTTATTTTCTAGAAGACTATTCGAGAAGAGCTGCTGTGCACAATATTCCCTGCATTCTTACATTTTTAAAACTGTTTTTCTACAGCCTTGGTACTTGAAGCAGAGCTTGGCTGGATAGAAGAGCTTTGGCTCGTGCTTTAATTTCTGATTTAAGACGGTTTTCACATCCTCAGACGCTTGATTCAATTAACTTGGCAGTGTTGTGTCATGACTTTTTGCACTTTATGATGCATTTTAGCAGGAGCATTTTCATAAGATGATAGATTTTTTTTTCTTATTTTGTTTTTTTACTAATAATTTTGTGTAGACTTAGGCTGCCTTTATCAATTTCATGGATGAGATGTATTTACAAGTTTCCTAGATTAAGAGGGTCTTTTTCAGTGTAACCAAGTATACTTTCTTTTTACTTTTTTACTTTATTATTATTTGGGGGTGGAAGTGGGAAAGACTGTATGTCCTCCAATTTTTTTGTTTTTCTGTTTTTCTTGCAGGACCTGAAATTGCCCCCTCTCCCCCTTCCTTTTTCCTTATCACCCAGTTTCCAAAGAGTGTAACACTCTTCCTTTGTATCCTTTTCTGCCTGAAGCAATCCCTTTCAAAGACAGCCACCTTGATGCATGGGCACCTAAGTCCCTTCCTCATTGTCACTACTGTCGCTGCTGGGGTTTTATCAGGACTTGTCACAGTATTTCATGCTTCAGATTAGCATGCTTTCCAAATCAACTCTTAACACCATCTTCACTTTCTTCTTCTCTTATCTGTACTGTTTTCCCAGGGCATTTGCTATTGACTTCTTTTTTTTTCTTACTTATAGGTGATTTGAAGATTATATCTTTTGCTATCTTCTGTTGAGTTGTCGGAAAAGTCATGACGCATTTTTGCAGCGAAAAACAGAAAAAATACATCATGACTTTTCAGACAACCCAATAGTTAAACTGAGAGTGTGGGTTTTGTGTAGTTTTACTTATTCTTCCTGTTGCTCTGTATTGCTTTGCGGGTAGTTCTTGTAATGATCTAGGCCGCCTCTTTAGAATGGTACTTGGGTGCAGCTAGAGAAAATATGTTTTCTGCACAAGTATAGTCATCTTGGTGCCGTAGAAAGATGAGAGAGTGAAGAAGCTGGTGCATTCTTTGCTCTGAAAGATTGACTTACTGAAGGCATAGCACTTTTAGGGTAAAAAACCCCATAACAATCAAAGAAACAGAATCAAGCATTTGATGTGAAGAGTTTACTTGCATTCAGGTTTGTTTTTATACTGCGTAGCAGGGAATCTAAAATACAACTATCTTCTGAAGCACTGACTATTCCATTACAATACTTTCAAATCCACCATTCACCCCGCAACCCCGTAAGTAGTAAAGGTTTTATCACAAAGTGATTCTCACATTTGACAGACGAGAGATGAAGACTCAACGAGACCCATCACAGGGTTTCCTGGTTATGGAGTTGGCTTGAGTAGAGTCAGGGGTAAAACATAAGCCCCCTAACTGATGTACAGTGCATTTCTCGCACCAGCTGTGCGTAATCATGGTTTTCACTTGTTTGATCCTCCTTCCAACTTTTTGTTATTGATCAATCACTTTTGTAAGCTCGGGGCCACTCCTTAATAACAAATGACTAGGAGAAAATGCTTTTTCGTGTTCTAGTTCCTATTGATTTACTCTGTAAAAACAATGTAAGCTGCTTGTCCAAAAGTAGGAAATCTGTTCCCCACTAGTGACCTCCCTTCATCTCTCTTTTCACAGAGGACAATTATGGGATGGCTGGGAAGGTTAATCTGCGCAGTCTCACTGCAGACATCAACTGGCAAGGCCTGGAGGGGTTATACAGCGTGAACGAAAGCATCTATGAATACAGACAGAACTATAGACTTAGTCTGGTTGACTGGACTAATTACTTGAAGGATGTAGATAGAGTATTTGCACTGCTGAACAGTCACCACGAGCAAAATAAAACAAATAACACTAAACCTGCTCAAAGTGATGGATTCCTGGCTGCATCTGCTGAGCTCCCTGTGCCAGCAGAGATGGCCTCCGCTGAGTCAGAGGAAGACCCACGTCCTACAATCGGGGAAGCCCCTCCTTTGACCTTCCCAGCTGACCTTCGAACCCTGCATTTGAACCGACCGACATTCAGTCCAGAGAGGAGACTTGAATGGAATAACGACATTCCAGAAGTTAGTCATTTGAATTCTGAACACTGGAGAAATCACAAAACTGACAAACGGATGGAACATGGAGAGAGAAACGATCTTGAAACTGATTTCAGTGGCAATGGTGTGAGCAAGCTGGTGCTCAAGCCCAGCCCCAGGCTGCAGCCCCTTAGCAGGCACCAGAAAGAACTTCCCTGGGAAGGTGGCCCGGGGCAAGATGTTTTCGAAGATCGACTGTATCTCCCTGTGCGTTCTGACGTTGATTCTACTCATCACATGGTCAGAGGGTCCACCTCGGAGGAGCCTATTAACTCCAGCAGGGAGAGCGTGCGGAACAAGGTGGAGAAGAACCACAGAAGTGAGAGCTTACAGACTCTGGAAGGCAGTGCCTCCTTTCCGCTCGCCTCTGATTAGGTGAAATTGTTACCTTATCCTAAACACAATATTTTTTTAACTTTTTATTAGCAAACTAATAAAGGTAATCATGACAACCAACATTCCAAGCTACCCTAGGCACATACGTGCAGTACAAGTCGGTGTGCATGCGAGCAGACGCCCAAGGATTCAGTGTTGTCACTATGTGTCAAGAGTAGTAAGAAAAGTGGATTTGTGGATTTTGGGGGGCTTTGGGGGGGGGCTACTAAAACAGTATTATCTTTTGAAAGCTGTAGGGGCATGCATATATTGATGCTATCCAATGAAGATGGCCAGAAAGGTGCCTTGCTGAGTTTCTGAAACTGGACATCCTTGGTCAATCTTTCCACACACTTTCCACTGCCTGTACCACGTGGTTTGGGTTCATTTTTAACCACTGGAGTTTTTTGATGCCACCGTTTTTAGCTCAATGATTTTGCACTTTGAGATCGGAATGCCATGTCAATTTGACTAGTCTTGATTTTATTATTAGTATTATTTTTCTACAGGCTTGTCACAGTCTCACTGCTTGCTCTCAGTGTGACAAAATAAAAAATTTAAAAAAAAATCCCCAAGGACGACACACAGTATGGCTCCCATATTGTTTCACATACGCTTTTGCCGGAAAATATTGCATGTGTTTTGCCTCGACTTGCTAAGATTGATTAGCAGAAAGGCATGGCTAATGATGTTGGCAGTAAAAATAAATAAATACACAAAACAAAGATTGCCTGCTTTCTCTGTGCCTAGCCTCAAAGTGTTCACCCTGTGCTTCATGTTGCTGAATTTTTATTATTTTCTTAACAGGATAAAAGAACTGAAGACTTTTTTCTCCCCTCATCTTTGTTTTCTCGACCTGGCTAATAATAATAAGCTTAAGTGTTGAGAAAAATATATTTCATTTTGAATTTCCATAAGGATTCGTTTTTCAATAAAACAAACTCATGAATGTTTCATAATGTAAACACACCCTATGTGTTGTATGATTATTTTTAAGGCCTTCACCAAGTTCTGTCTTTTTAAAGGCAGAGTTCAAAATGGCTTTTCAAATTTTGTGTTCTTGAAAATATTCTTGTTATGTAATAGATTTTTAAAATACCAGCAAAAGGATTACCTCATTGAAAGTTACCAGTATCCTAATCATCTTCCCAGAAATAGCTTCACAGTGATTTTCTTTTTAGATAATTCAAACACATAGGTAAATTATGTTTCCTTTAAGTGTTTAAGGTAAACTCTTTTAAAGAAAATTTAATATGTTATAGTTGAATCTTTGATAACTTTAAGCCTTTATTATAGACCCTGTACATATGTTAAAATTAACTAGCTCTTTATCAGATGTGTGTGTCACTGGCTGAATGACAGAAGAAACATATTTATGGTCATGAATGATGTGCTTTGTAAAAAAAAGTTTCAAGTTATTAGGAAGCATACTGTGTTTTTTTAATCTTGTGTAATATTCTGTGATACTTTTATAGAACAATTCTGGCTTCAGGAAAGTCTAGAAGCATTATTTCTTGAAATAAAAGGTGTTTAAACTTGACCTGTTTCAGAGAAATGAGCTTACCCAACTTTTTGTGGTGCACCCATTCCTTGCAAGTAAAACTGAGTCCTGATTTCAATTTCCATGATTGAATATTAGCCGTATTAGTAAAACTGACCCAAAGTCAGTGTGTTATCAGACGTTCTCACATTAGGGATGACAGCATGGCTTTGTCTCATCACTGCGGCAGAGGCAGCACCATGACGGCTTCCAGGGCCTACAACCTGGGCCTCCACGGGGCTGGTGCCTGGTTTCATTCTCTACTATAACCAGCTGGAAATCTTGAATAACTTTTGCACAAGGGATCCCACGTTTCCATTTTTTTTGCTGGACCCACAAATTATGTATCCATTCGTGGGCAGCACAAATGGAGTTTTTCAAAACCAAGAGGACAGACCCACCAAAGGCAGTTTGGGTTCTTTGGAGACCATAAAGTTTGGTGGAGACCTAGCCACTCTCCAAGACCCCAAGTTTTCTGACTGACAAATTCCATGCGATTCCTTCCACTCCACATCTCCTGCGGTGCTGTCTCCCCTCAGGTAGAGGGGCTAGCAATCTATGAAATGTCCAGAAATCAGAAATTTCTAGTAATAACAAAGGGAGAAAAAAAGCAAAGGACTTTGGGATCTGCCAATTCAATCTTTAGATAATTGAGGAAACCATGTGTACTAGCTTGCTAGGGCTGCCATAACAGAATACCATAAACTGGAAGGCTTAAACAACAGAAACTTGTTTTCTCACAGTTCTGGAGGCTAGAAGTCCATGATTAAGATGTCGGCAGGTTTGGTTTCTCCTGAGGCCTCTCTCCTTGGTTTGCAGATGGCCGCCTTCTCGCCGTGTCTTCACATGGCCTTTTCTCTGTGCATGTGCATCCCCGGTGTCTCCCTTCTTATAAGGACACCAAACATACAGGATTAGGACCCACCCTTATGATCACATTTAACCTAACTTACACCTTTAAAGCCCTTATCTCCAGATACAGTCACATTGGGGGTTAGGCCTTCAATATATGAATTGAGGGGTCACAGTTCAGTCCATAATGCCACAGTTTTCATCAAGGGAAGAGTCCAAGATAACAGTGTTGTCCAAAGGCATGTCATTGTGCCTTTCCTGTAGCGTTCCTTTCCTGTAAAATGTGACTAGGCCAAATATTGCTACCCTAGGGGAAATTCCATTTTCTCTGAATAACTATGGAATACCTACTAGGTGTAAAGGGCCCAGCAGAGACGATTTCAGATCTTGAAAGGCCTTCAGAGATTGTCTGGCCAACTGGCCTCATTTGATCTGTGAGGAGGCTAATGCTCAAAAGGGCAGAGTTGCTTTTCCATCTCCCCATTCCCCACAGAGTTAGAAGAGGGGGAGATTTAGCAGAGGCCAGGGCCAGCCCCTCGCCACTTTTCAACACACGCGCAGACACACACACACCAGATTAGGGAACAGGCTGAAGTGGGACCCCATTTGGTGAGAAGTAATAGAAAGAATAACGGACATGAAATGAGAGACCTAACTTCACGGGTCTATTACCCATTTGATCTTGGAAAAGTCACACAAGCTCTCTAAAACAGCTTCCTCAACGGTAAAATAAGAGGTTTGACTGGAGGACGCAAATGCATAGCATATGTGTTTCTTTTCCCAAAATGTGCCCAGGAAGACATTGCTAATGCTTTCAGACACTTTCTCACTAACCTGGAGCGTGCGCCCTTAGAATGAATGTGTCTCAACGCCACCAGCTATTTCTCCAGTCAGCTACTATCAACACTGTTGAATTGGTGGTGTTGGCACCTGAGACAGAAACCCATCTGCACACCCAAACTGGATAATTAATATCTGAGGCTCCTCCCAGCTTTCTTGGAGGTAAAAAAAAAATCCTATGAGCACCAGCATTTGCAAGCCGTTTTGATTAAGAGAGAAGGAATGAATAAATAGCTAACATTCCCATCCCATGCCGAGCGTACCTAACCATGTCGACCTTCTAAAACATGTTTCAACGTTTATTTTTCCAGATTTGCTTTAGAGCTGATAGGATCTCAGGTATAAGGGGGTCCTCACTTACCCAAATTAGTCCAATTCTGCTTGAGATTTTCAAAAATCATTTTCACAGAAAACAAAAATCAGCTGATACTTAAACTACGTCAGGCAATTAATACATCGATACGGTTTTACCAGCCTGGTTCATGTAGGTCCTTCACGACTTACAAAAGCCGCCGTGGAAGGCCCAACTGCAGCGTTCCCCAACTCCGACACTTCCCACACTAACTGCCAGGTGAATGTCTTGTCACCATGGCTCAGATCTCAGCCTCCTACTCAGAAATCTTCAATGACTTTTTAATGTCCTCTGTGAAGTTTTAGCCGTTCATTCACCCACCCCGCTCGCTGCTCCACCTCACCTGTCACGACCAGCGTCCCCAGTCTGAAGTTTTCGAGATCTCACCCATCCTTCAACTCCCATTATCATTTGAAACTTTCCTAGAACACCCCCACTTCCGGACATACTATCTTCCCCATGTTATACCCTTCCCCAGGTGAGAAAACGCTGACGTTGTACCAAGTCTGGGGCCAACAGGGTGCGAATAACGGTCCACCATCGATAACTTGGCTCTTTCCCCCATTTCTGACCCAAAAAGTTACCTAATGCGACTTACTGTTAGTGCTGATCAACTCACCTGCTTATGTTGCTGATGTTGAAAACTTGAACTGTGTAGCGGGAACGACTTTCAAATGTCAGATTCTTTTTCCAGCTGAGACTAGCACGTCCCTATATCCCTGATCCCTGACGTCAGGGCAAGCCCTGCACAAGGCTGGGGGCAAAGGGAGCTACACGTGTGGAAGTCTCGCTTTTCTGCGGGCAAAGGGAGTGGTGAGCGAAGGTAGACGCCGCCTCTCCTGAGTTTCTAGCCCCCACACCAGCGGGCCTTGCAGGACTCTGGAGCTCAGCACCTGCATCCTCTTCCCCCAAAAAACTTCTTCCCCCACGTCACCCCACCGCCAGCCCCAAAAGCACAGAGTCATAGTGGAACCAATCTAACCACTAATGGGTCTCAGCAGAAGAGATGTGGTCGACTTTTCCACCTTACTATATACGGGTCGCAGCCCCACTCAAGCCCGGAAACCGGAAGGGCCCAGAGATTAGCAGAGCATGTGTTTTCCATAATGACCAGCAGGTGTCACTCTAGTGCAGCTAAAGACATCTTTGCTCGGAGCCAGGACCTGGCCCGTGGCCGAGCGGCCGCTTAACTTACAAGGATTTCTAAAGTAGCAGCGCTCCCATTTGACAAGAATACATCTAGAACAACACAAGCATGGCAGGCTCACTGGCTCTCCAGTGCCTAGAATCTTAGCCATTCCATCAGGTCGAAGAACGGCTTTAGCTTTCTACTGATTTATGTTGGCATTATGAGTTGGAATGACATCAAACTTTGACATTTACATTCAAAAGTGAGCACTGACTATTGATCTCCTTGCTTTCCAATGACTTTGTACAATTAAAAATGTTTCTTGGCTACCATACACCGAATCTACAGAGGCCATCTCTGCCCAGCTGACAATTTGAAAAACAAGAGAGGAACTGAATGCTTTTTAAGAGCTCTTAAAACGCTGAGGTCAAACCAAGTCTGGGGCTAAAGCAAGGTGAGTAGCTACATTCATAATCTTTCCTCTCTCCTCATTTCTTAAAAAGAAACCTTTTCTCATGTGTCTATTTCCAAAAAAAAAAAGCCCAGTATCCAGATTGGATCTGCCTCGGCCCTTGAAAGTGAGATATTTAAGAAATTCAAGAGGAACCCTTTTGCCTAAATTGCATACATAATTAAAATCAGGTGGTAGGTTTGGGCAGGGGCTACTATTTGCTCTTTCGTAAGTGGCTCCCTTGATGAATGCACAAAGCCATGGGGGAAATAGAGCAATTACCCAGACGTCAAAAGACGCACCCCACCCCCCATGCCACCTCCCCCAATAACTTGTTTATCTTGAACCACTGTGACCCTTTAGTTTTGCTGTGCAGGAGGGTGATGGAGTGAGGAACGGAAATCAATTACCCTGCTCCCCACCTAGACAGAGCACTAAGGGGGTATTCTAAATATAACCACTTTGTGCTTCAGTCCATGAGTCATGCTGTTATTTCCATGGTTCCTTTACCTGCTTCCGGCTGGCACCCAAAAGTCTTAGATGCCAGGGTACTTGGAAAACGGCCGTCCGTCAGAAGACACCTCAAAACCCAACGCTTTTTTTCCCATGGATGAAGTCCGGGCTCCAGTGCTTCCTCCAGCCTCAGACCAGTTCCTGGGCTACTTTGGCAATGATTAATTTATTATTCGGTAGAGCCTGGAGAAACGGGGGCTTTTAACTGCTTTCTTGACCAAGTTTTGATATTGATTCCTCTGGGAATCATTCTTTTCTGTGCTTGAGGCTTTCCTTTTGTTTCCTTTTAATTTTCAGAATAAAGAGTTGTGCTCCTTTGGGAATCGTTCTCAACCTATCATGGTCAACTGTGTGGCAGAATAATAATAATAATAATAATAATAATAATAATAATACCTACCAAATGCTCACCATTTGCTTCCTTATCCCTCCAGGATCCCAGAGGTTAGACAGGGACATATAACTATAGTTTAGACCAGTGCAAGGTGACATGTGTCACTTCTGGGCTGAGAAAAAGAAACGGCCGTTTGTCTTTCTCTGGGCTCTTCTTTTCCTTTCCTTGCTCAGCAACCAAGACTGATCCTGAAAGTGCCAGATGGTGCAGCTCCAAGATGGTAGAACCTGTCAGCCTGGGTCCCTGAGGGACTAAGTGGAACAGACCCATACAGCCATCTAATGGAAATGCAACATAAACTTTTGTGCTGTGAGGCCACTGAGATTTGGGGGTTAGCATGTTTTTAAGCATTCCTCAGCCCATCCTGACTAACACAAACCATATTCAGGGCACACAGTTCTGCAGGTCCAAAGTCTGTTTGAACTGAAATAGACAAGTGATAGACGACTTAAAATTATTCTCTTTGGTGGCTCAATGAAAAATGTGCTACCACAGGCTCTTAAAACTCTAGTCCTAATAGTTTACACACAAGATATTAGTCTTCAGGGCAGGGTTGTCAGTTACATAAGGAGTTCGTTACTACCATTTTCCAGAGTAGCGGTGGGCTATTTCATCCAATCAAACCCCTTGTCTTCCTTGTGTGGTGGGGGGGGGGTGCAGTCACACTAGCATCATTGCTCCATCTCTTCAAGCAACAAAAATCCTAAGAAACAACCTACATTCAATCCAACACACTTTATTCTTATTTTTTGACTTTTTTTCTTAATTTTCAATGATCAAGTATTCAAGATGTTGTAAACCAGGGTTTATTAGTCCATTGACAACAGATCTGATGAAACACAAGGAAATTATACATCTTTTAAATTACCCTAAGAGGTCACCAAATAAATGTTTGTTTTAAAAATCACAAAATCAAACGCCTTTATGCAACAATTCAAAACAGCCTTTCATCACGAGCACACCTCTACGCACACAAACACACACGCAGAACACGCACTCCACTAGGACTCTAATGCCAGTTTGTTTAACACAATATTATACTTCCTTTAACTAAAGAGTTAGAGGCTGATCTGCCTGTTTCGTGCTTTAAACTAACATTTGGGGTTTGGGGTAGAGGTATGTATTTTAAGAAAAATGCACACTATAATGTCTTACCAATTATTCTTAATTTTCCTTTCTAGATACAAACTTTAAACTTTTTTTGTCCACCCCTTTGGTTTATTATGTCCCTGCAATTACTTTAGTTTTTAATAATATCTTCTCCTTCAATATTTAGCATGTAAGAGTAGAATACCAGAAAAAGATACCACCTTCAAAACCCCAATATTAAAAACATTTTACATGGGTATCCATTTTTGCAGAAGAAATAAGAAATGATTAACTGAAATATTTTTCCCTCTCTCTGAAGTTATTTTTAGCATGTGATTATTCTTGCTAAAATAAATATCAAAAGCACTGAGTTTTCCATAGAAAAAAGTATTCCCTCTTACGCTTTTCATTTCTGCAGCGTCAAGTTCATGGATTAACTGTGGTAAATGAGAGTAATGAGTGCTTGTTTTTTGGGAAGTTCTCCAGATTTCCAAAAGCAAAGCACATGCATTTCCTTATCAGTGAAATACTGTGAATCCATTGGGGTATTTTTGTGGTGAGCATGCATCATCAAATACTTCTAGCACCAAGGCATTTTTTATTTTTTTTTAATGTTGCAAAAAGCGAATACCCAGGGACGGTTTTCATCATATTTGACCCTTCCTAGGGCTGAGCAAAAACTAAGTGCTCAAAATAAGCTCTTCAAACATACACAAATCTGATTCCGATGTAGCAAGAAGTCTGGGACAGATATGGCCAGCAGCATCCCAGATGGTGAGGAAAGGAGAGAGACAGAAAAGATCAAGTATGCAGGGCCACTAGCTTTGCCAGCCAGCCATAGCACTCCCTTCGTGCTAGGAAAGAGAAGATGCAAAAACGAGTGATGGCTACCTACTGGTCTGCATAACAGAATCAGCAAAACTGCAGTCTAGGCAAGTCTGGGATTATACAGTATTGTGGTATTTACCTGCTACTTAGAATACGCAGTATGCACCTATAGATATCAAGAGTTATATTCTTGTGTCTGTGCCATTTAGGATGTTTTACCATCCTAGGTTTGGGTTCTCCTACTGCTCCTGGGCACACGAGAGAATTTCCACAGATGCTTCAGGTCCATTCAAACTAGGAAGTGTCTCTCTCTGGTGCACCTATGGTTGATCTAACAGGCTCCGAAAAGAATGTTCTGGCTCCAAGCCCACCTAAGAATACAAGCTGCAATTGGCAGCTGCGGAGGAATTCTCAGGGTGGGTGGTGAAAATGTAGGACTGCTGTTACTGCCTCTAGGTAACTCCCTTCTCTGATGATTGACATTTCCAAGGATATGCTCCCATTGGTTACTATAGCTACCAGCGGTCACAATCGGATCAGCGATTTAGTATATAACATATAACATTTGTATGTTCACTTAACATGTAGCACTTTGTATGTGTTCATTTAAAACTTTTACTAGAAAACTTAAAACCAATTTTCACCAAAACACTAATGGAAATGTTAACATTCTGAACCAGGAGGGGGGAAAAAAAAAAGCATACACCTGAAATCCCCAAAGCTCAGATTCAATAAATCTGAACCCACTTTCCTCACAATTTTTCATTTCAGAAACCCTACTGAGACTCCATATTAACACCAAAATTGGGTTTGTTCTATATTAAATATGAACTATAAATAAATACTTGAGGTATATTAAGACAAAAAAAGTTTTGAACATTACACTTGGCTAAACAAATGTAAATTTACCATGCAAATCTAAACATTAAATTGTAATGTTTCCTACAGATTTTCTTTGACTTTTACACAAAGAAATAACTTCTCTACTCTTCAGAAACAGTAGCACATCTAAAATGAGATGATTTACCTCACTATCTTAGTCACATCTTGCTTTTGTTAATCAAAACTATTATATGCATGTGTAGCGTAGGAAGTGAGTGACTGAGAAAGAAGCCTGGGTGGGAGCCCTGAACTGGCCACGCTACAGTCCTACACAAGTCACCTTATCTCTCTGAGCCTCCATTTTCACAATCTGTGTGTTTTATTTGTTTGTTTGTTTGTTTGTTTGTTTGTTTGTTTGTTTTAGCTGAGCCATCCTGCCAACCAGCTCAGCGGCAGCTCAGCTCAGGCTGGGACTCGAACCGTTGTTGCTCAGAGCTCCCACACTTGAGCGAGCTCTTAACCAACTGAGCCAATTGGCCAGCCCTACAATATGTGTTTTTTTAAACAAAAATAAAAAACAAACAAACAAAAAAAACCAATAAAAATAATTATCTTGCAAACTTATTAGGAGGTTTAAAATGAATGATATATATTAAGTGCTTTACAAAATGCTAATTTGTTTCCTGTCTATTCCTCTTTTCTTCTCCCACTTTGGATCTGAACAACTTTTGACTGTTTTCAAGAATTTAAGCCACCTGCAAAGGATAAGGATTTCATAGTAATAAAGATAACCAAAGAATGTGCTCCAACACCCCACCCCACCTCCTGGGACTTTCTAAATTAATAGGCTAGATTCAAGGATAGTATATTTGCATATTAAATCCAAATAATATATTAATCTACAGAGTGTACAAAGGAACAAGATGATCTCTTTCTAAAACAAGTAATTATAAGCCTGAGCTCATGAAGAGTGGTAAACTTATAATAGGAGCTGTGACTAGAGAGTCACACAAACAATTTATTATTATTAACAAGCATATAAGAACCTCATATACATACAATTAAAAGGTGTCATCTATAAAATAGTCACTTTAGTTGGCTACATAATATTCCAATGATGCTACCAGAACCCAAAGCATTTTGAAGACAACTCTTACTTGGTACATATTCCAAAACTTCAGTCCCCCATGATGTATTACTTATTCTATACACACCAACAACACATTAATGATACACCTGCTATTTATAAACATCAGATACTTGAGGAAGTATAATACTAACATTGTGGCGTACAACTCATGCCAATTTCTTTGAATTCTGGCCTAATTAACCCAAAGGATTTCATAGACTGGCAGATGGTAGGATTTCATAGACTGGCAGATGGTAATGGGGAAAATGCTGTCTGAGAGAGAACTGGTGCCCAGTCATTGATTGCTGAACTGGATGACTACTTAAGGTAGAAAGTGGTACCTGATGAGTCCATAGTTTCCTATCCTGGAGTTCTGAGAGCGGCTCCTTTTCAAAATGTACTACCAAGAAGAGAGAGATTCGAAGAGTGTTGGAACACACGATCTTAGCTACAAAAAAAAAGTGTAATCCCACCAAAATTCTCTCAATGCAGTTTCTTAATGATCAGAGGGAAATTAAGAAAACACCACCTCTCTCCAACGTACCTATCTTTAGCTCCAACACAAAAGGAAACTCTCTCTTTGAAAGGATCAAAGATTTCCCATAGGTGTAGGGGAACCTGAGGCCCAAGGGTAGACAATATTCAGCAATATTCTCTGAAGACCTTCAGAATGCATCACGCTGACCAAAGTTTGATAGACACCAGTGTAATTACAGGCAACAATGGTTTTATGACTTAGCCAAACAAGACTACTCAAAGGGAAGTCCTTGTCCCTGAGACTACTGGCTCCACCCCTTGGAGACATAATTCGGTTGAATTGTAATAACGCTCTCCACAAACCACATGCAACCAAGAGAATCAGTTGACTGATGCCATTCCTAGGAAGAGAGGAAAACAACCTTGTGCCCAGGAATATCCACACAACCCCACCGGGACAGCCAAGGATGGAGGACAAAAAGGGCTGAATCATGGGATGGTTCAGCCAATCACACTCCTTCTGTGCGAGAGTGTGAACCAGCCAAGGAAACCGTTTCCCAAATTAGCCCAACATAAGCACAGGGTCTGTGGCAGAAACAGTGATGTTGGTATTTGGACCTAACAGTCCCTCTGAAATCTGAGTTGTCGTGATTCTTTTTCTGAGTAGCCAGATCCCCTGAGTTAACTCGCCATCAGTCCATAGCGCTGTTAGGAGGCATCTGTCTTAAGAACCATGTAGAAAGCATCCTGTGTGGCACCTAAGTCGATGTGATGTGCTGGGAGGTACTGGAAAGGGTTTGGATAATGAACCCAAAGGAACAGAAAAGGCCTCTCTCAGTTGACTTCCAGAAGGTCAGAGTAGAAAAGAATCAAAGGGTGATGTAAAATGCTCCTAACCCTGATAAAGTATTATAGGATTCGGTACGTCAGACCAGTTTATTTTAAATAGTTTTCAGACATTACTTAGGATCATATTCTAGGTCCAACTCACAGAGCTCCTCCTATACTATTCGGGGTGATGTTCAGACGTGTACTGCAGATATAGCTTTCCTGGCTTACTGACTCCGTTTCAGTAGCAACCACAGCAATTTTCCGTACGTAAGAAAGAGAACAATACAGATTTGCCAGTATTTCCAGGCATATAACTAAAATGACTGGGTGGGACTCAGTCTTACTGCTCTGGAATTCCTTTTTCCAACTATTCTGAGTGACAAGTTTACAATTCCTAACTACCCTTACGTCGGTCCTTCAGAGCTAAGAAAAAAAATCTCTGCAGCAATTTTCTTGGATGAGAAAGCCATGAGTTTCTTTCCGTCTTATGCATCTCAAATTACAGTTTCCAGCCATATTGTTTAGCACACTAGTTTTAAAACCTCTTGTGAAGGAATACTGGTGTTTATAGTCAAGCTATCAGATTTATGATTTAGCAGCCCCTTTACCTTACGATGGGGCAGGCAGACTAAAAGACTGAAATGAAGTAGCTGTTCCTTTTATCATGGGATGCATATGGTTCCTCTGAAGCATTTGAAAAATTCTACCTGATTTGTAACTCTGCTATGGCTTAAAAGGCTATTAACAGTGCTTTAGGGAAAGTTTAGCTTCCTCTTTTCAAATACGTATCTGCTTTAGTCTCTGAAAGCAAAAGTAACATGCTGCACTTCATTTTCCCGATCAGATTGCATAGTTGAAGCAAATTCATTTGTGCTTTGGAGCAGAACTCACAGTAGGTGTTCAGATCTTAAAAACTTGGATTTGTTAATGCAAAGTCAAGGTCAAGCTCACCTTTGTCTGGCGTGTATGCTAATGATATGCACCGCCATTACACTCGCTCGTGATTTTGTTTTAACCATGTACCTCAGCCTTATACCATATGGGAGCATGAGCATTAAAATTAACATAGCAGAAATGGTAACAAATCTATCTAAACTCCCCCCTTCTTGGAGAGCAGGGGAGGTAAAGGCTCTCAGTCTTGTTGAGGTATCCAGCCCTCAATCAACAGTGGCTGTGTATACTGAGTTTTGTTGGTTTGAGGATTGTGTCCTTAGAGGTTCAAAAAAGAAAGAAAGAAAAGAAGGCACGGGTGTTTCTCAAGTCACCATATTCAACTCAGCCAACAAAACTGAAGTCTGGTTTCAAGCGTCAGGAGGGAGGCTACGTGGCAGCAGGACTTTCTTCCAGCCCCGGATCTGGGGAGGAACTTATTGCTTCTGGGAAGGGGCCCGGATAGGTCTGTGCTGTGTACTGGATCCCTTTCTGCAGGCCAGTCTCTTCGTGGAACTCTCCCTGGGTGCTGAAAACTGGGCAAGATCTAGTCCGGGCAGACTTATCGGCACCATCGGGGTGGCCCACCATCTCACTCACAGTGCCCAGAGGGAATTCTCTCCACCGCTGCCTCTGCAGTGCGTCCTCCTTGTATTTAATGGAGTACCAGGCCAGAAAAATAAAAACAAAGCCAACAAATTTGAGGCCGGCCGCCAAACCGAAATAGACAAAACGAAATGATGTCACATTGTACTCCCAGCAAGAGCCTTGCACGCCACACTCTTGTTGCCACAGCATACAGGTGGTGTCAATTACTGCTCCAAAATAAATCGGAGTAGGAATATATGCTAGAGGTGTAGAGGAGGAGGAAAAAAAAGAAAGAGTATTTAGCACATCTCATAAGAGAAAACAGATTTGAAAATTAGCAAGGTGCTTTGTGTGCTCTGAAACCAAGAGGGGGGAGAGTGGCTTCCTTGTGTTACATGATTTTTAAAAAAGATATATCACGTCTTATATTTAATAGAAACTACATTGTAAATACTGTAAATCTTCAGGATGTGGTATTGATTTTTAGGATCATAAAAATGTCTATTGCTAAAAAAATGCAATTAGGGAGCCCTTTTAAACTTTAAAAGTTAGAGTTTGTCATTAAATACGCAAGAGGCAACATTAGAACGCTTTGTGACCCACTAAAATTCAGTATACTTAGTTCTTGTGGGTTCTAGTATTAAATGAGGAAAGCATTGTCCACTCTAAGTCAGAAACATATCAAATAGCAACGTTATAAAGGCACCTGGGGTATCAAAATAATTAGTGCATAAAATTCATCTTTGAAGCTTAGGAAACATCTGTGATGCGTAGTAGATTCATTTGGGGCCTATGGTATAGACATTTCTTTACTCCCATAATAAAGAAAGTCTACCCAAGTGGACTTCCTTCATTACATGCTACTCCCTTTGCCAAAATGTGCCCTTATCCCCATCTTCTTCACCTTGCGAATACCTACCCCTCCTTTAAACTCCTGACTCACTCAGATGCCACTATATTCCCGGTGCATTTTTCTATATACCTCCATTTAATCAACTATCACATAGTATATAAACTTTGCAAATCTGTCATCCATAAGTGCCTTGATGGCAGGGGCCATGCCTCTTATGCATCCCAAAGACCTACAGGACAACACGTGGATCTTCAATAGAAGTTTATAGAAGGAAGCAAGGGAGGAGGTGAAGAGAGAAAGGAGGAAAGGAGTGGGGGCAGGTGGGCTAATAGCCCAGGAGGCTGTGAGTGAAACATTTTTAAAATGCGTTGTAGTCACTTAAATGGAGGTAGGTTCACTATAATTAAAATTTAACATTTTAAAAACACTTAAAATTCTCTTTTTCCTTTAGAATTCAAAGAAACGGAAACTGGCTTTTTGTCCTAACTGCACTTTTTTATCATCAGTAGGACTTAAGGTTGAATTCAATAGTAAATGCCTAAAACATCCTCCCTCCACTTTGCAAAGTCCATCTGTTACCTTTCACCGCCACATCCAAATCGAAGCCCCCCAACTTCATGGTATCAGAGACAAGCAGAGCAAAAAGGAGGAACTATTTTTTTCTTTGCCTATTCAACTACCCCTTTGCCAAACAAATTTCCTTCTTTGAAAGCAATGTTTTAGTTTTCAGCTAGAAATATAAGGCATGCTTCTTACCTATATCAAAGTATGTCAGAGTTTCCTTTAACCAGCATGCTTTGAAAAATGGTACTTTCAGTAAAGTCCTATTGGTACCAAAAACCAAGCTACCCATGCAATACAATCAGAAGACTTTGAGGTTCACTGAAAAAGTACTCACTCTCAGACCGAGCCATCAACCATAACACATGACAAATTGAGAATTCCAGAGAGGATTAAGGTTTGAAAGGGTCAGCTGATACCAATTTAAAAGGTTTCAACCTTCAAAGCGGAAATTAAAATTTTGAATCAGGAATTTTTTTTTTTTTTTTGGTCCTGTGGACAGTGATGCTGATTACTGAGGGGGGAAAATAACAGCTGAAGAAAATCAACTGCCACTTAAGAAAGAAAAAAATACACCTGATGATGAGGAAGTCGGTTAAAAATACATTGAAATTGATCGAGAGAATGGACTACTTCACACGCAATTGGCCCAAGACATCACAGGGTGCTGCAGTGTTTGTAAAAATCAAAACAATATTCTTTATGCCCAAGTAAACTCTGTGACTTCCCACATGGACACCGCATGAAGTTCCCTCGTTAATAAATAAAGGGAAGTCCCTATATGTCAATTTGGGGATCTTTTTTCTTTTTACAATTTTTTATTTCTTTTCCTCAGAAAACTTGATAGGTATACTCTTTGCCCAATCCAATAAAATTACTGGAAAGAAGGAATTGAAATTTTTGCAAATAAAATGAGCACCAATCCCTATCATTTACATGTTAAAAAGGCACGAAGCGAAAAAACACGAGGATTATAAGCCCATCACAATTGTTTGGTTCAGTAGTTCTTACTGTACAAAACTCTCAGGGGAATTTAGTCCAAGTTTACGTTCACAGTGAAAAAGAAACTGACCTGAAGTTGGTTTTGTTTTTGTTTCCTCAAATGACAGAACTGGTAGCTTTTAGTTCAAATTAGAAAATAAAGAAGTTGTGCCCTTACCACTAAGCTGCAAAATCCTTGCTACTATAATGGTAACAAATGACTTTTTTAAAGGACAGTGAGAATTTGCCCTCTGCAAAGAGGAACTGAGAGGGACACTTGGAAATTGAGGAACATACCCAGCGTTCGCAATAAAACAAACTGCATTCCCAGAGCAAAAGGCCTCTCCTCATCTTCCACAGACCTGAGACGAAGGGAAAGAAAGAAACGTTTTTAAATTGTGGCCTCGAGAAAATGACGGTCAAATCAAGCCTGCTTAGCGCAGAGCCAGAGATAAAGAGATGCTATGGCAAAATACTGAATTCTCTAGAATTTACTAATCATAGCTAACTAAGCAAGACTGCTGATGGCTAAACCAGTGATTCAAGAGCTCCCCAATGAAGACACCAAAGAAATTCTGATCTACTCCAATTGTTTCCATGTAAATGCTCGTGGAGGGCCAAAGGGTCATGGCTGAAGGGCAGAATAGCTCTGAGCTTCCTAAATCAGTTGTTAAATTATAATTTATAATATGTATTTTATTCATATATTATATATTAATATATAATTTATATTTATATAAACATTATATATAATATAAATATAAATATTATATATAATATAACATATATATAATTTTATCCTAACTACTGCATTTTATCTTTGTTTGCCTGCACTTTCCAGAATGGTAGATGTGTACACTGAAAGTTACTCCCATAATTCCTCAAGGAACAGTACAGAGAAAAAAGGTTTTTTTAAAGTATAGTCAAGACATATAGGAAACAGGACAAAAGTTAGAGGAAAAAAATTAATCTCTCCCAGTCACCTCATTTTTTTCTTCTTTTCCTAAAACTTACGCTCGAAGTAATTCCCACACGGCAGGAAGATTGGAGTCTATTGATTTTGCAATTAGCAAAGATTAAAGAGTGCATTTTCTGAAGTTTTACGTTACGAGCCAACTGGTGATTTGCCACGTTTGAACACTATAAATTGAGCAGCCCTTATGGGGTGATTTAACATCTCTTGTAGCATCCAAGTTCAAAGACTAAAATTATTTAACACCTCCTATAGAACTAAAGTTCAAAGAATTAGATTATTAATGATCCCTATTTTTTCATGATGAAGTACCTTATCCTTCCTGTCCCATACACATAGGGTTGTAGGTATAGAATGCAAAATTCCCAGGGACCAGTGAGCTTGTCGTCTTTTCCCCAAGTTCTTTATTTTCGCATCGCATTTGCCCAATGCTGTACACATTGCTGATACTCCCTAAGTATCTGCTGATGGAGACATTGAGTGAATAAACCAGCAGGCCTTTCCCCATGCTATTGTCTTACTGTCAAGGAACGAATTGATGGGGAAGCACCCATCTCAGCATCCCATAGAGGAGAAGCCAGATTATGCAGAATAATCAGCCAAGCAGCCGAATGGCCAGGCTAAGAAAGACGGCTCAGCAGGTGCTTTCCACCAGGTGCCCAGCATATCCCGGTACTGAGGAGCCAAAGGAAGACTAAGGACTGACTCTCCTCACTCTGTGCCCTGGGCACTGCAGCCCGCAGCCCCCCGAAAGCTGCTGTGGGTGTGCTCTCGTCTCCACCATGCTGTCCCCTTCCTTCCTTTGCCGTCCGCAGTCTTCACTGCAAATACCAACACACTGATTTGAATGCGCGAGTGTCAACATTTTTAAGAGGGCTTCCATTAAGTTAACGTCCACATTCTCGTATAAGCGAGAGAACACAAGCGGGATCTAGGGTGGCAAAGAAAGCACAGCGCGAACGCCCGAAAATTAACATTCTCCAGTCGGCCCTATCCTTGTACAGCTCCACAATTTTATATGGCAGTAAAATTAATGAAATCAGCATTTTGAACTGCAGGCTCAACATAAGCTATCACTGATCCCGGAGGTATTAACGATCTACAAGGTTAGAGATAATGTTTTTCGCTGTATGCACGACTTAGCAACTTCAGCAACATGGCTTCCTGCCTCCCCTGGGGTCAGGCTTCTTGGAGCTAACACAGTGACAGCTTTCAGCTCCTGAAGTAGAACCTTGGAGGGCAGAGACTCGGGAACCAAAGGTGCCCAAAAGCATTTTCCCTAAACTATAGGAGTAAAACCCATCTAAACAAAGGAAGTTCTGGGGCCGGCCAAGTGGCGCGTTGGTTAAGAGCTGGCTTCGGATGCCAGCTCTGAGCAGCAGGGCCCTGGTTCAGATCCCACATAGGCCAGGACACTGCCCTCCACAGCTGAGATGCTGAACAACAGCTCAACCTGGAGCTGGGCTGCCATGAGTCGCCGGTGACGGCATAGGCTGCAGCCCCTGCTGCAGTGGGTTGCCATGAGCTACCATGAGTGGCCGGCAGCCAGCGTGAGCTGCCAAGAGCCTCTGTGAGCGGCCGTCCAGAGGCCAGTGACCAATCTGCCTCACCCGGGAAGAGCGCAATGATGGTACCAACATGGGCCAGTGAAGCAACGTCCTCCACAACTAGACTGAAGAACAAAATGACAGCAACTTGTCTGTTCCCCTTCCCCTGACTCCCTAGTGCTGCTCCCCTCCCCCAATTCCCGAATAAAATCTTTAAAAAAAAAAAAAAGAAAGTTCTGGGCTATGCAATGTTACAAGTTTCCTTTCCCCTTCTAACATGAGATAGTTCACTTCCAAGCTCGCAAAGCAAACATTGGAGTGCCTGAACAGTCTAATTTTGCTTTTCTCTCTGCTTTTCCACATCAGTCCCCAGCCCTGGAATATGTACTCTGACAAGTCTGAGTGCATAACCCCCACCCCCACCCCCAGAAGTTCAATGCTGCTCTCACCTGAGTGTCACTATGATGGCTGATGGCTGAGCACATGCTGTGATGAAGGTGACTATGAAAAGAAAAATTAAGAACGGGATGAGGGTACTGCAGGTCCGTTTGCACTTCCCAGACACAGCATAGCCATTCTCGTTGAGATACGTTTTGACAATAACCACGCGGAGCTGACTGTGCTGTCCCACTGTGGGTGGGGTGATCACTTGCCGGCTTTGGACACAGGTGCATTCCGTGTAATTCCTTATCTAAGTGAAGGTAATAAAGATCAGTTGGGTGCCAATCAAAAGCAAAACTCAGCACAGGAATGTTAAGACAAAGTTAAAGTGCTCCAAAGTAACTCTAGTAATTAAAACCATGCAAAATATTTACTTAGAAGGATCTTCCTCATTGCTCACAATAGGGGTCCAAAATTTCTGATACCAAAGTCCACTGGTCAAAATTGTTTAAACCTAAACTTTCCTAAGCAGCTTTCAGTGCTCAGTTCTAGAACATTCATACTGGGTGCACTCAATTTTGGTCATAATTAAATGCTGCTTTAATTGCTATTTAACTCTTGGGCTCTTCAATAAGAGAAGCCCTCAAAAACAGGAACCGAGCCTTATTTTTTTGTGTGTTCAGCAGAGCACCTCGCATAGCTCTGAATGCAGACAGGACCTCACGTAAATATCTGTCATATAAATGTAGATCTTTCATACGGAAAACCTTGATGACTTCTGTGCCAATAATAGTGCAAAGAGCATCAGCTGTTTCATTGGAAACCAGCTAATTCAAGGGACTAAAAAGGGGCTTCAATGGAACAGTCAATTAAGCTTCCTGCCTATTATGTTGCTTTTAGTAACTGAACATCAGCTGAATTCACTCACTATCATTGTGACCTCTCAGCCACTTGGAAAGGCAGCTGGAACAAATATGGAGATGGGGCACTGCTGGGCTGTCTATGCATCAAGGGCTGCTGGTCACATTTTAAGAATGAGGGCTGCCCCAGAGGGCACGCTCACCCCCAGGGAAGGACTTGGCCATGGAGACAAACACATCTCCTTGTCTCTTTCAAGTTGGTCACACGCTGGAGCTCGCCAATTATAGAACGGGGAGCCAGCAACAGGAATCCTCAATGTATCGTTCTAGTTTGAAACTCAGAAGTATGATATTTCAAAACACAAGCAGTCAGCGGTATAATTCCTCATCACTACACAGAACAAGGAAGTGTACCTAGCCTTTCTGCAGCCTCCCACCATCTGTTTTTATGCAAAGAATGAAACTAGGCTCAATAAGGATCTGAGTAGACTATGAAAACCTTCCCCAACAGTATTACAGCCTATTTATAGTTCATGGGCAAGGGAATTCTCAAAATAGCCTCTTCTTGAACTGACAGAAATATCGTTACTCTGAAAGCCAAAAAAAATAGTCTGAACTGATAATCTATGAAAAATGGCCACTGCCCATCTTCACAGACTTTCATTAGGGGAGGTATACTCCTATTCTTTTCTATCAGCACCAAATGTGGCCATCTTGACCTTCGAATCTATCAGACAGCCCAGTCCGAATACCAAATGACAGGCCCAGCACTCAACCTTCTCAAGTTTCACTGAGTTGGCACGGAATGTAAAGTAGAAGAGGGCTGATAGGGGAGCAAATCGCTACACCCCAACACTCCAGTCATTCCTGGGAAAAGATGGCAGTATTGCATCATTTCCTTTCCTCTGGATTTTTGTCACAGGTATTTTGTAGGTTATTTGAAGTTTCTTGAGAAGGGAGACTGAAGTCATGTGTTTGCCCCTGAATGCTAACACATCCTGTCACAGGATGTTAGATTAACAACAGTTCAGGAATGTGTGAAATATACTCACCCCAGTGCTAAGATTACCACTGTTAACACAGCCAGCCAGACAAGGGTTAAAGTATGTAATTCCATCTGATCCACAGACTGGCTCATACTCATGTATTTTACATCCACAATTAACATTGCAGCTTCCAGTCAGGTTCCTATGAGGCATGGTGAGAGAGGGTCTAAGAGAGAAAAGAATCAGAGCATGAGTGACATTTACTAACATTAAACTAATAGGGAAGTTCTTGATGTCAAATAATTTGTCCACTTTAGAGAAGATAGTCCCATTAAATCAAAGCTATGGTATCGTACAGTAGACATCCTAGATAATTATTTTTATGACTTGAAAACGAAACGTAAAGAAAAAGGTTACAATTTTCTGGTACCACAGATTTAGTACCAAATTATGTGTCCTGCCTCAATTCTACCCTCCATCTTGGTGCCAAGGACCTGGTCTCAACCTCTGGGCTCAGCAGTTCTAACCCTCACATAACTAACTACTCACTTAACTGTAGACACTTGGCTCTATGTCTTAAAAAATCTGGGCCTCAATTTCCTTAACTGTAACATGGAGAAAATACTTTTTTGGGCCAAATCAATAACATCATTATGAGGGCACAAACATGAACTATATCAATCACAGTTGTCAACACAAGTTCCTTTAACCGAAACGTTTACTTGTTTGAGAATAAATTATCAAAGAAAGACATGGGGCGTGATTTTCAAAGTAACATAAATATAAAAAAAGGGGAGGCAAGTAAGGGGATATAGGGCTGTAGAGAGCAGTATAAGGAAATAGCTGTGAAAAAACAGAAACAGGTAGGTCCCCATGGGAGACCCATGGACGAATGAAAAAGGGGCTCTGTAGTGCTCACAGCCAATGAGTTCTTTCCTTTGCTTTTGTGTCCACCATTTTTAGGTGTCACTGATGAAATACTATTCGTAAAGTATTTCATATGAGGTAGCAATAGCAGATCCTTCATTCATCTATCTAGCTACACATCAACCATCCATTCAACAAATATTCTGGAATGTCCGTTCTGTGCATGGACTTATCTTTAATGTCTATGTTGAGTAAACCACTCGCCAGCAGCATAGCCTATCCCAACCATATGTATTAATCTATAAACATGAAGCTTTGTTTATTCATAGGCTTTTCTCCTGTGGCCTCTTTCACACTTTGATAACTGAGTCTTCAAATTTTCATGGAAGGAACAAATTTATAGCAATACTTAAACCTTATCAAGAAAGGCTTCAAAAAGGCAAAAATAAAATAAACCCTGTTATTCACTCAGGTCACTCCACAGAAGAAATTTTATCACGAGATATTGATAACAGTTTCACTAGAGAATTTGGGAGTGATCTGGCCAGAAATGCTAGTTCACGTGAAGGGCTGGTAGTAGCCTATCTAAATGCACCAGGTGGTAGGAAGGCAAGACCGGGAGTGGTGACAAGGAGAATGAAATGCACCTGTGTGAAGCTGAGGCAAGGTCTGAATTAACAGACTATATCTATTTGATTTCTATAATAGTAGCACTTTGGGGCAATAAAACTACACAGAGACAAGTAACTTCAGGGGAATATCCCAGCCCCCGAGATTTTGGAGCTATGTAGAACTGAGTGAATCATCCCTTCCAGCAGTCACTGCCAAACACAGACAGCTGAGAAAATGCTTCCTCATTTCATAGCTCAATAAATCATCCCTGCAGGCGGCTGGGTGGCTCAGTTGGTTAGAGTGCATTCTCTGAACAACAGGGTTGCCAGTTCGATTCCCACATGGGCCAGTGAGCTGCGCCCTCCGCAACTAGATTGAAGACAAAAGACTTGAGCTAAGCTGCCGATGGGCAGCCGGATGGCTTAGTTGGCTAGAGTGGGTGCTCTTAACAAAAAGGTTACTGGTTCGAGTCCCACACGGGATGGTGGGCTGTGCTCCCTGCAACTAGATTGAAAATGGTGACTGGACTTGGAGCTGAGCTGCGCCCTCCACAACCAGATTGAAGACAACTACTTGACTTGGAGCTGATGGGTTGGAAAAACACACTGTTCCCCAATAAAGTTAAAAAAAAAAGAAAAAGAAAAAAAAATCATCCCTGGAAAAGTTCTGGCCCAGTAGCTCAAGTCACAAAACCAGAAGATGGTATAATAGATTTTAGTTTCAACTCAAAGAGATGACACTTGATAAATGAAAGATGATAAAACTAGAATTAAGAAATGATTTATCAAGACTTAGTTAGTACTGGTGTGGGGCCGGCCGAGTGGCGCGTTGGTTAAGAGTTGGCTTCGGACGCCAGCTCTGAGCAGCAGGGCCCTGGTTCAGATCCCACATGAGGGCCAGTGACACTGCCCTCTACAGCTAAGATGGTGAACAACAGCTCGACCTGGAGCTGGGCTACTGTGAGTCGCCATCCAATGGCTGGTGAGCAACTGCCTCACCCGGGAAGAGCGCAATGATGGTGCCAACTTGGGCCAGTGGAGCAACGTCCTCCACTGCTAGACTGAAGAGCAAAACGACAGCAACTTGTCTGTTCCCCTCCCCCAATCCCCAATAAAATCTTTTTTAAAAAAAAAGACTTAGCACTGGTAAAAAATTCTGTACGTGGACATCAAATTTAACCCCATTTAACAAAATTATTGTAAGAAAAGGGAGAGTGAAGAGTAGTAACTCATAATATGTAATGTGCTTATATTAAGTATTACTTAAGCCACGGTTTTCACAGTAAATCCTGCCTCTTTGGCTGCAAGGTACTCGTCTTGCACACCTGTGTGAAATACAGCTCAGCAGACACAGGAGAACAACAACACATTTCCTAATTAAAACCACAGGGAAATTGTGGGTGTGGAAACGTAATTACTTCAGCTGGGCCAGGATATTTAGGTAGAGCTCCTAGGATCTTTCATAACAAAAAAAATCATCAGATTCTCAAATCTGAAGTATTGTCTATTGTATTGCATTGCATTGCATTGTAGTTAGAACACTTAATATGAGATTTACCCTGTTAACAAATCTTTAAGTGTACTATACACTTGTTGGCTATAGGCACGACATTGTACAGCAGACCTCTACAGCTTATCCATCTTACTTGACAGGAACTTTACACCAGTAAAGTAACTTCATATTCATAACTTCATGATCAGTAACTTCGTATTTCCCCTCCTTCTCCCACTTGGCCCCTGGCAACCACCGTTCCACTCTTTGATTCTATTCATCTATTTTAGATACCTTGTATAAGTGGAATCATGCAGTATGTGTCTTTCTGTGACTTGCTTACTTCACTTAGCATAATGTCCTCAAGGTCTATCCATGTTGTCACATATGGCAGAATTTCCTTTTTTGTAAGGCTGAATAATATTTGATTGTATGTATATATCACATTTCCTTTATCTATTCATTATCTGTTGATGGACAATTAGGTTGTTTCCACATCTTGGTTATCAAATCTGAATTTTCTAAGAGAACCACTAGTAACATGTCAGGTTCACTCTACAAAAAGACTGTGACTCTATTTTGGCTCAAAAGGAAAAGTTCATCCTGGGGGGAGGGGGGTTGTTACTTTGTGAGGGTGAAAAGGTAACTATTGCATTGTTCTGTACACCTGAAACTAACAATAAAAAAATTAAAAAAAAAAAAAAGAAAAGTTCATCCTTCTAAAACATCCCACCTCCATCCCAGGCATCTACATGCCTCTTGAGTACTTGATGCTAATTCGAAGGACTTAATTCAGTCACTAAGTCCTTTAGATGGATGTAGACAGCTCAGATATTTATTTGCATCAAGTTTTTACTAGTTTCAGCATAATTATGAGTAACTTCCCTGAGCAGAGAATTTGCAAACATAAGTTTAAATATTTAAATGCTTCAAACTGGAGGTTGAGAGTGGGGAAAAGAGACATGGACTTCTTATTTTCTATCCTCTTGAGGTATTTTAATTTCTCAACCATAGTGTTTTTACTGTAATAATACTTATAACTAAGTGTGATTCACATTATCACCAATTTTACATATGAGGAAACCAGGACTCAACAATATTAGGTCACCTTTTTGCAAGGTCACACAACTAGAAAATTATGGCACTAGTAATTGCCCTTGAAAATAATACAATTTTTGACAAAGGAGTTTGAGGGGAGAAGGGGAGAGATTCTTGGGGCCTCTGTTTATTCAATAATGCAGAATAGTAGATTGTACAAAAAGAAAAATAAGACTAGGGTAAAGAAACAAAATACTTGAAGAAAGAGTTTTTTTGTTTGTGTGGTTTGGTTTGTTTGGTTTATTTTATTTTATTTTATTTTAATAACCATCATGGGGCACAGGAAAGGAAGCTGACTAGAGCCAAGGAAATAGATTGCTCAGCAAAGATGCAGGGCTGCTAATATTGGAACTCATAAATTTGTAATGGAGCCAATCAGCACAATTATATCATTTTTGCCCAGTTACACTGGGGAGTCCAGAATCTGCTGATTCAGGATTGGCAAGACAGGTGTGGTGTTAATCAAGGGCTTTGAAAGTCTTGAGGCGACTTGCAGTTTAAAAGCAAGTAAACCACTGAGTCTGCTTTCAACCCCTTCTGAGAACGCACTTAAAATAAAAGGAAGATTAAAAGGAATAAACTAGCAAAGAGAAATGGAAGGAGTGATACCAAACTTCATGCAAAGAGCAAGTGGACAGGCATAGGCTTTACGTAAGATGAGCAGATGCCACCTTGGAGAGGAGACAGCCTGCCCCATGGAACCTCCACAAGGCTCTGAGTTCAAACTCAGCAGATGCAACAGCGGGCAAAAGGGAATGTGAAGCTGAAAACAATGAGACTCATTGGAGATCGGAGGGAGAGAAAACTGCATCGCTGGGCGCTTCCATTTTCCTCTACTCACCCACCTCCATCCCCAATTGAGAGCCCAGAAATCCATCAGAAAGCTCTTCTCTAAAGAAATTGGAAGACGTTTTTTAAACTAACCTTCTACTCTAGAAATTGGAAGACATTTTCTAAACCAAGCTTCAATGCTTAGGTGTTGAAATATTAGAATAAAACTTTGTCATCCTTGTATCTAAGGAGGAGTAGCTGACACAACCTGAGAGATGCTAGGCTGAGTGTTGTCAACCTATAAAGGCCAAAATAAATGAACAGAACAACTGACCCTTAAAATCAAATGGTAAAATGTAAGGCATAGCAATAAAGTAAAAAAAATAA